ACTAGGGCAGACTCAGTCCACTGCACTCCCAACGAGACCCCGAAAAGACCGCGTCTCTGTCCTTCCGCACTTCACGCAGAACATCCAGGGAGGGGACCACGTGCGGGTCCCCACTACGCACGTAGAACCTGGCAGTTCCTCCATTGGGCCAAACCTGCCCGGCCCAATGAAGGAACCTTGGCCCATCGTTGGGGGCTATAAATACCTTCTGTTTCCAGAGGGTCAGGTATTCATCATTCTACCCATACTTACTATTGCCTGCTCGTGCTCTTACTTACTTCAACATCGGAGTGTCTTGTAGGTACCCCCCACCTCGTTCAAAACTTTCAGCTCGGAGCCAACCGTGACGGTCTAAGTCTGATCAGGTCATATCATATAGTAATTAAGAAATTCCCTTTTGTAATGGATTGTTCTTTTTCCTGCAAGTTTAAGTGGTGACTACCTGTGTTAGATTGTCTCCATAGCTGGTGTAGTCTGCTATTGAATGTTCATATAGTTGTGTGTTCTCTTTTGGCTGTAACATGTATGCTGTAATTTTTTTCATTTCTTATGCCTAGGTGCAATATTTTATCTCTTGGCTTTAAAGAAAAAAATCTCTATTAGGTTTCCAACTAATTAACTTAATGTTTTCTTTTAATTTTTAAATAAGAATTATCATGTACAGTAAATTATGAATTGAGATGTAATTAAATTCATCAATAAAAAATACTGTTAAAAAATTAGGAATCATAACCAAATCTTAATAAAAAAAAACAAAAAGGTTGAAACATCTTTTAAAAAAGTGGACTCAAAACCGTACAATCACATCACCATGCTTATAAACTTCACCCAAACACGTGTACGACATGTCGCTTTCCCTAACATGTCCCACCGAAGTACAAACCAATAAAAAACCCAAACTCATTAAAAACAAAAACACCAACCTTCCACGTTTCACTTCACTGTCTTCTAAATACACGGACCCCACTCAAACCTCTCCACACGTGTCACCCATTCCCTTACGAAGCGGTATCGAGATTCCAGCAAAAAAAAATACAGAGATTCGCGCGCATGTGCACGTGTCATTTATTACCCCTCCCACACCATCCCCTAATATTCTTCCACGTGTCCATTTTCTTTTTCCAAAAGTTAACTCACACGTGTCGCTCTCAGAACCTTCTAACGGAACAGATTCTCCGTTTCGAGATTATTTAGCGGTGCTTCCTTCGTTTAAAGCTCTTTTACGTGTCAATAACCGCTTTTATTATCCCCTTATACTCCGCCACGTGTACTTTGATTATACTTTTTCTACCACGCTTTATAAACCAGAATAATAACCAAAACTCTCTCCTATTTTTCATTTTTATCTTCAAAAAAAATCTTCTAGCAACGTTCAACAATGGTGGAAGTTGAAGAGGTAGAGCTGGATTTAGGGTTATCCATTGGTGGCGCTTTCAGAAAACCTTTGGAGAAAGAGAAATCCAAACCTGAATTTGGTGATAATCAAATTCAAAGCAATGTCATGCAGAAAGTTGATCAGAATCAAGAATCACGTGACAATCACACCTTGAAGAGGAAGAGAGAGCAGAAGAATGGAACCGGTGACCGCGCCGGAGATTTTGAACCGGTGTTTAAAAGGGAGAAGACGGAATGTGTTAACGGTGGTGCTGTTTCGTTGAATGCGCCGTTTCATGTTTCCCAACTGCAACAGTTTGGGAAAGTGAAGTTTAACGGAGCGGCGTTACCGTCTTGGTTTGGTGGTGAGAAGAATGTGTGTGGAGTTAACGGTGTTAGTAATGTTAACGGTGGAGATGGAAAAGTGAAATCTAATGGGTCTTCTTCTAGGTGTAGTTCTGTTGTTTCTGATTACCAAAGTTCTTCTCGTGAAGGTGAATTTCTTTTTATTTTTGTTAATATTTTTTCTTTATTATATGTTTTTTTTTTAAATCACATGCTTTTGCTTCTTTTTTTTTCGAATATTAATTTTATTAATATTTTCGAATATTAAATTTATTAATTTATGATGTTTAGTTAATGGGAACATAGAATGTGACAAAGTGATGATTGCATGCATTTGAATATATTAATTTATAATATTTAAATTATATTTATCAAAGGATAGAGATAATGTGCTTTACTTTTATTATTTGTGTATTATTGTGTGAATCTTAGGAGGATGCATGTGTTTCTTACAGAGAATTGATTATGATATTTTTAATATTGATTTTATTTGATGTTAGTATTTTATAACTTTTGATATGTGAATCTAGACAAACATAAATTATTTTAATTTTCAACTTTTATAAAATCAATTATTTCAAAACTAACCAAACACATCCTAATCTAATATTTGTGCCTTTGTTTTTGTCAGATGGAGGGAGTACTGAGGGCCACAGCCAGCATTCAGCTAATTCATTGACTGAACAAACTCAGTTGAAAAATTCCAAAGAAATCAACCTCAGAAGAAACCAACCTGAACAAATTGCTTCATCCAAACCATTCAACAATGTGAAGGAAACACAAACTCATCAAAGTACCATGAAACCTAACGAAGATTCTGCTGCAACTACAACTGCTACAGCTACACAAACCATTTTCATTCCGAGTCCGAATCCGATTCAGGTTAAGAAGCCACTGTCTTTGTCTCAAATGCCGTATGTATCAACAAAAGGGAATGGACCAAATGGGAAAACAGTGAATGGATTTTTATACAGATATTCAAAATGTGATGAAGTTAGCATTGTTTGTGTCTGTCATGGAAGCACATTTTCACCTGCTGAGTTTGTGCAGCATGCTGGAGGCACTGACATTTCACACCCTCTAAGACACATCACAGTTAATTCTTCTGCTTTTCAATGATGTTGCTCTTTTCGGTGTTTTAATCAATTTAATTATCAGTTGTTTCTTAATTAAGTGTTATTAATGCACTCGTGTGAACTTTAGGCAGAGAGTATATAGTTTTGTAGCTGGAGCTTTTTTCTATCAACAATTCTAACTATTATTATTAACAACTGTTTTGTGTGCTATTTTCATTATTTAGGCACTTCACTACCATTCTTTTAATAATCTTTTCACTTGGTGGCTCGAAATAAAATATCCTATTCTCTATCTTTTGGCATGTAAAAACAACTTCTTCTCTAGAATAAAATATGGCCTCTTGGTGGCTCTGCAATATAATATAATATAATATAATATCAAACGTGATCTCAAATAATTATCACAAGATGATAGGAGAAGAGTTGAACCTCGTATGCTTCGCATACCCACTTTCTGCCATGGTATTTGCTATCACAACATTTGTATTTGCTACCACTACAAATTTCATGTAAGTTTCTTGGATCTTCATACAATCAAGCAATGATTCTCTGGTCTAATGTCCACCAGCTGCACCATCAATTCCATCCTACTTCCACAAGATTAATCAACATGAAGCCTCATCACAAGTTGCGAAGTATACTTTTATAGGAATTGGGATCGTTGAGTGTGATGCTTTTGGACATTTTAATTATTAAGCAAATGGAACTTTTGGCCTTCCCTCGTTGAGTCTTGAGTAAAAGTTGTGAAATGCTCAGGACACCTATGAATTGCCTAAATTGCACTTAGTGCTTAGATATGTATATTTGAACACTCCCAAAATTAAATTAGTGTTTGGTTTTTGAAATTCACTCCATTTTTGCCAATATTTAATTCTGACATACATGTTCATATGTGATTGGAGTGCATCCGAACATGCATGTTTGGGATATCCCTGGACTCATTTAAGGTGTGTTTCTGGACATGTATATCTAAAAATGTCAATTGAGAAATTGAATAAAACACCTCATTACATGATTGTTTCCCTCATACTTCACTTTTTTATCTATTCCTAAAAAAAAGTTTCATTATCAATCTACTTTTCGCCTCTACTACATCATACTTGTCTTTTATCACATCAAAGAGAGCAAAAGAAATTAAAATTTAAGATAAAGTTAATTCATTTCATGCCACATTAATTGTATTAAATATGATTTTGTGAGTTGAAAAATAGATGTTGAGTCTGGATGTGCATATATATATATATATATATATATATATATTCATCCTCCATATGTCTAGACATGCATATCCAGATTTTTCTAATTGTTAGAGTTTTTAAACTATTTTTCTGTTTTGGTTAAGTGCATTCAGATATTTTTTTCAAAGTTGTTGTAAATATGGATGTAAAATCTGATAAAGTGTATGATGATGTTAAACCAGATTAAGTGAAGGATGATGTTCAATCGGGTGTTAGACCGGTCGCAGTTGTTGTTAGTGTTGTGGTCGTGACTGTTTTATGAAAACAACAGTATTTCGACTTATCAGTCCGAAATATCTCTTTAATATAATAAAGGGATCAAATTCCTCTTTTTTGAAACTATGAGTTGGCACAATTTTGGTAGATCATCTCCAAAGATGCAATCAGTGATGTATACTTCTTGTATCGGCTCTGTATACCTCGGCTAGAGTCATCATTCCTTTGGTGAGACTCCTTCCCTATCGGACGGCTGGAGTTGGTGTCAGAGAGGACGAGGTTGTAAAAGTGTGTGTTGAGTTTCTCCTCTAAAATCATGTAAGATTGAGTTATGTTGACCATCTCTAGATCTTCGTGCTTTTTTCATTTCTATCTTAAACCTGAAGGAGTGGTCGTACAAAAGATCATTTTCGAAGATCCATCACTTAGTCTTCTTCGTCTTCTAGATCTTCTTCGTCATATTTAAAAAAGCGGAAACAAACAAATCCTTAATAGTAATATTAGCCCTTTCTAACTCCACTCTCTCTCAGCCAACATATCCAAATAGTTTGATTTGATAAATGGATAACTTTTTTCCTTTCAAGAGTCGAAACCACACAACAAAAACCAAACGAAGACAGAATCAGTAGTCTACCGGAACCTTTATTGATTCACATCTATCCTTCCTATCCAGCAAAACATCAGTTCAAACAAACATTCTCTCCCAGATGGCGCAACCTCTGAAAGCATGTCTTCATTCTCAATTTTTCCGATGATGACTTCATCAAATTCAATTCGGAACGATTCAGGTACTTCAGAAAAATTTTCTATTTTGTCAACAGCCTTATCTATGTCCTCAGGCCCTATCAAGTTCACAAGATCCGCCTCTCATGTACTAAATCTCTCACTAACAACACCAACATCAGGACTCCCATTAAAACTGAAGTGCTTCTTCTTCACAACCTCAGCATTAGTGATATTGGTAAGTTGCAAAACGCGTTTCTCTATGCCTCAAATGTTACGGCCTTAACTCTATGCAAGATACTCCACACCCTTTCTAGAATAAGACATTTACGGTTGAATTGTTCATCAACGAAGGTACGACATTTGTAATTCACACAATTCTCCTAATATTATGCTAACACTAATTACGAACTTTAGTGATATAATTTGATATATCAAAAACAAGAATATGCAATTATGATATAATATCTTTATCAGTTAGTTTTCTATGCTAACAGTTCATCGTTACTAATTGTTGTGAATATAGTGGGTATTGGGCGACGTCACTCATCTACATTTTCCAAATTTTGGCTATTTACTTCATCTAAATCTCAATATTGTTTGGTTCAACGCGAATTCTCTTATGAATAATGTCACTCACTTGAAGTTCTAATAATTCAAAATGGCAAGGAAGTTTGTAATGACAAGGAGATATGTTTAGCTCTTAAGTTTGTTTAATTGAAGTTTTGTAGTTTAATAACCTTTTTTATCATGTATGTTAATCTCAGGGCCCGTTCTGGTCGCTTAGTTTTAAAAAAAATACTATGTTGATCCCTCATTTCTTCAAAACAAATTATATTAGTTATTTTCGTCTAATTAACGATAGAAAAATATAGAAATTGATTGTTAAATTCATCACTAATGAATGAAAATAACTAACATGATTTGTTGGGACTAATATGTTATTTTTTAAAATTAAAAGACTAAAATAGACCGTGAGGTTAACTTACAAAATTCACATACAGTCACAAGGAATATTAAGCTAAGTTTTGTTAAATCTACAATTCATGCACGCCACTAATAATCTTCCGGACGTTAAATTTATCAATTCAATATTTTTATGAAATAGCATATTTACATACTCCAAATTTTCACGAGGACGTGTAATATGATTCATTACCATATATATATATATATATATATATATATATATATATATATATATATATATATATATATATATATATATATATATATATATCTTATTTTGTAAGTCTTGATGTTGTGTTTTTTGGTGTCGGCAGAAACAATCATCCTTACTAAAATGGAACGCATAACTTAATGTTCTTAGTTGTCTTGAATCACATCTGAGCTTTATTCAATTTAAAGGTGATAGGAAAAATAGTAAATGTGCTATTTTTGCCTTCAATAATAATGGGAAATTTCTAAGATATCGATCTCAAGGTCTGCTTGCAATTATTGAATTAAATCTGTAGTTCAATTAAACAAAAATTTAATTTGGAGTTTTGGTTTTGATATTGTCACTTAACAAAAAAGCATAAATGTAAAATAGCTTTTTCATATATATATATATATATATATATATATATATATATATATATATATATATATATATATATATATATATATATATATATATATGAGAAACATGTTAGGGTAAGGTGTATAATTTGCTCCGTAACTATCTTGAATCATGATCTCTTCAACAAATTCATATCCTTCAATTACCAGCCTTTAGATTATCTTCCCCTAAATCCTTGCTAGAGACGCTTCTTTGTTTCAGATTCCAACTAACTTCTCCAAATGTAGTAATCTCGTCTCCCAGTTAAACATGATTTTTACACTCAACTTTATTATTCAACTAACTTTTGAAGTTATGATGGATAGCTTTTGAGTCTAAACGCGATTTTTATACTTTTACATTTACATTTAACTAACTTTCAAGCAGAATCGATTTTACAAAATCAATTCACTCAAAATCAATTTTATTCATAATATTCACTCTTAATAACATGAGGATCCTAACACTATTCTTAACTCAATAGTCTAGAAGGTGCACCCTGTTTTGATTTGCAACAAGACGAGTCTTTTAATTTACCATCACTAAAGAAGCTGCGACTTAACATCCGTGGAATGAATGTGACTTCCCTGAATATCTTCCTCAATGACTGTACTTGCCTGGAAAATCTGGATATTTACTTTTATGCTGAGGATTACACTAGAATTTTTACGCCATCTCTTTATGTGCCACCTTCGTTGAACATGTTAAAAATCATTGTTTCCGATTCCGACCTTGGGACTTCCCTTGAAACTCAAGTGCTTCATTTTGCGCACATCAGCACCAATGATGCTGATAGTGATGCTTGTATCTTGCAAAACATGGGGGAAGCGTCCTTCGATGTCTCAAATGCATCCGCCTTCACTTTAATCAAGCTTCTCCAAGCCCTCTCTGGAATAAAACATTTAGTTTTTAGTCGTTTAGCAACAAAGATATAATTTTTAGATAACAGAGTTAAAGTCATGTACCTATTTTCTAGTTAAAGACACATTCTTATATTCTAGTTATCGATCTACTTTGATATACAAAGGACAAATATATGAAATTTGTATTAAAATTCTAGTCAGTACACTTACATATTTTTTGAATCATACTATATGTAACTCGAGAGCTCAAAATCCTTCAAATAAAATTTGGAAGGGAATTCTTTAATATTATGAAATTCTTCAAATAGAATTTGGTATGAAGGGAAATTTTGAATCTAAAATCAGTAAATTGTCCTGGAGTCAGTTAAGTGGTTACTAATGTATTTCAATGCTCAACAAGTACATACACATAAACACAACTCTTGGAATCTGATCTGACCTGATCAGAAGGTTTGGACCGTCACGGCTTACTCCGAGCTGAAGGCTTTTTGAACGAGGAGGGGGGGTACCTGCAAGGCACTCCGATGCTAAAGTCAGTGGGAGTACTAGCAGATAATAGAGTTGAGGTTAGAATGATCAATACCTGACCCTCTGGAAGCAGAGGGTATTTATAGCCCCCAGCGCTGGGCCAAGGTTCCTTCATTGGGCCGGGCGGATTTGGCCCAATGGAGGAACTGCCAGGTTCTACGTGGGTAGTGGGGACCAGCACGTGGTCCCCTTCCTGGATATGCTGCATGAAATGCGGGCGGACGGAGACGCGGTCTTTCCGGAGTATCGTTGGGGCAATGGAAGACTAAGTCTGCCCTAGCAAGTTAGCTTGAGGCCATGTCGAGCTGCGCAGCACGGTGCCGAGCTCGACGCCAAGACCTCGAGCTGGACGGCGAGTGTCGAGCTGGAAGCCAGGACACAGAGCTGGACGGCATGCTGTCGAGCAGGACTTCATCGTGGGGCTGGACACCGAGATGTCGAGGTGGACATCAGGGTGTCGGGCATGGACGTGACCCCTTTGCCCAGTGTGGTCCTTAGTGAGTCCCTTTGGACTGGGCCTTAGTAATGCTTTTGGGCCTGTCGGGCCCAGTCCAGAACAGGAGCCCCCCAAGTCGTGGTTCCTTTGCGAGGAGCCATGACTTGAAACAGTTGTTCCGTCGCTGAGGTCTCGTGCCCGGGATGGAGGCGTGGACCCTCGAGGGGTCTCCTCGTGCCGTGCTCGGAGACGTCCTCGGTGGTGGATGCGCGGAGGATCCGTACCGGGCGCGTCAGTCGAGCACACGAGGCATCTTTCGGGAGTTGTGCCGCCACCCTAGGGGGGTAGGGCCATCATTGCGTTGGGAGCAGTGCGTCGAGGAGATGGAGTCCGTGGTTGAACGAGGTGACGTTTGGTATTCCACGTCATCACTATAAATAGGGTCCTTGGGCCCCATAATACGTTTTCCGTTCTCCGTGCTCTCTCCGTTGCAACTCTCAACACTCTCTCCAGCCGTGACTTCCCGTCTCAGATTCTTCATTTCTTAGCCAAACCCCAACTTTGATCCAAGTAAGTGATCTATTTTCTTCATTTTCCTGTTTTAGAATGCATGATTCTTGTAAATTGTAGATGTTTTAGGACCGTTAATGTTGGGTTAGCCCGGTAAACTTGCGTTTTGCCCGACAGATTTATGTCTAGGGCCGGCAAACGCATACTTGTGGCCGACACATTCATAGTTTTAGGTGAAAAACTTCAGAGCTGCCCGGGGTCTTCATGATCCTGGGCGCCTGATTCATGACGGTGCCCGGTATGTTTATGGTCGTGGCCGTGGGCTTCATAATGCGGCCCGCCATGTTCATACCTCGGATCGACATGCTTGAAGAGTGGCCGCGCAGTTGGTTTGAGGAAGAACACTGGATTCAGGAGAGTCGGGGAGGCATCCACGTGTGAAAATGGACTTGTGTAGTAGTGTATGGACGACATGATTATGTCGAGCATAGGACTTCATGCTCAATCTGATTGGTTTCCCGTGCTCTGCAGGTAACCATGGCGGATGAGCCGAGCTCCTCCGGTCGTCGTGACAGCGAAGAACAGAGTGCCGACGAGTCGGCCAACCTTATAGACACCGTGACCGACCCATCGCTGGAATGGGTGGGCGCTGAGCCTCGGGGGACGGCGTCGATATACAGTCGGGATGACCGACATCCGTTCACCGCTATCGAAGAGGGGCAGGACCAGCCCGACTTCCAGCAGAATTTCGTGGTCATGCTGCCGTCGACCAACGCCAGAATTTGTTCAATGTACCCGGACTACAGCTTTGCGATGTACGAGATCGCGTTTAAAGACTTGGGGCTGCGGCTGCCGTTCACAGACTTTGAGACCGGGGTCTTTACGCATTTGGAGCTGGCCCCGTCCCAGCTACACCCAAACTCTCTCGCCTTCATCCGGGCGTTTGAGCTGACGTGTCGCTACTTAAGGATAGGGGCGACCATCCCTCTCTTCTTTCGAGTATTCCACCTACAGCGTCAGTCTCGAGGAGGGAAGCACAGCTGGGTGTCCCTGAAGCAGTCGAGGAGACTGTTTAGGATGTACATGGACTCTGTGAGGGGGTTCAAGGATAAGTGGTATGTGGTACGCCCTACTACCGACTCTGCTGTAGATTCCCTCTTCGAGGAGGAAGGGCCGGTCAGCGATGATGACGGGGAAGCAATGTTGGCCGATGACGGGAGCCCCGTGTTAGGACGTTGGGCTAAGTTCCCGGTGTACTGGATGTCCCGACACTTCGATCATGGAACCGGTTATTTCCATACTGCAGTCGGGGACATGTGCACGGAGGATCAGCGGGCGTATGAGGCTCTCTGCAACTTTGTCGACAGTTTTCATCCCGCCCAATGGGTTACGCGGGAAGGGAATGATATCCTCGACAAGGACGGTTACCCGACATTCGAGGCTCGCCCGATCGACACCAAGGCGCTGGTGGAATGTTCGACATATAGGCAGGCAGCCCGCCTGTTAGGTTGTTTGTTTGAAATTCTTTGCTCGTCATTTATTTACGCGTTTTGCTCGATACTGACTTTTCTTTTACTTCGTGCAGGTACGATGGCCAGCCGACATGAAAGGCTCCTGAAATTGTCAACCGGCCAGAGGCGAGGCAGGAGGGTCGTGCAGCCCCCGCAAACGACGAGAATGGGACCACCGCCCAGCATGAACGTTCCTCCGCCGGTGAGGGTGGATTCGACGTCGAGCTCAGGAGCAGCGTCCGATCCAGAGGTCGAGGAGGTTGACGCCAGCGCCGTTTTGACGCAGAGGAAGAGGACCCGCGTGGAAGGCGGTTCGACTGTCGGGGGAGATACCGGTGCTGTTCAATCCTTTGCCTTCCCCCCTTGCTTCGAGGAGGAGGGCTTTTTCGAGCGGTTCCCTCCGACTGTGGTCGCTCATGAAGCCGAGGCCATAAAGAGGATGACTAAAGAGGAGAGGAAGTCGCGGCTGGTCGCCAGCGTGGACGGGCTGGTTAAAATGGCCGAAATGGCTCTGGTGTTATCAGAGGATGCAGGGGATGCTGCTCGTGTTGAAGAGCTCGAGCAGGAGAAGGCGGCCTTGACTGCGAGCTCGCGGAAGTTGAAGGTCGCTCTGGAACGCTCTGAGGGGATGTTCCAAGAGCAGACCGCGATACTTGATGCCGAGAGGGAGATGCTGGCCTTGGAAAAGGAGAAGTCGGGGAGGTTGACTGAGGAAGGGGAGTTGCTCCGGGCCGACAGGGATCGTTTGGCTGCTGAGGTCGAACGCCTGGGTAAACAGGTTGAGGAACTGAATGCTGTTCAGCAACCCGCCGAAGATGAGCCCGAGGACCTAGTGGTTTTGAAGAGTCGGGCTGAGCTTATTGCCCATATCCGGCTCCTCGAGGCGGACGCAGTCGGTGCTCTGGAAGACGGGTTCAATTCTGCAGTCGACCAGCTCTCACTGCTAAATCCCGGCCTGGTCACCGAGGGCATCGGGCACACCCATCGGGTTGTAGGTGGCGCGATCATTCCCCCGCCCGACTCTCCCGGCGTCGACAATGATGACAATGTGGAAGTTTGATATTTGTATTCTTTGGATAGCGGGCCTGCGTGCCCTTGATATTTGAATTTGTATTCTTTGGGCCTGCGTGCCCGTTCATTGTATGTTTTGAACACCGCCGGCCTTCTTGGTCGGTTTAATATTGCTTTGTTGCCTTCGGGCGTTTATACCTTGTTATTTATTTTGGATTTTCTGCCCTTGTATGAACTCACAGGCTTGTATGAAATTTGGCTCAAGTCCTGGGCCCGAGGAGTGCCCGTAGGCGGCTTTGATTTGGCGAGCGACTATGCTCGTCTCCATTTGTGTGCAATCCCGGCCCTATTTTGGTTGGCCGGGGTGGCTTAAGCGTTGCGCTCGAGGGGAGAGATTTTCTTTTGACCCTTGTAGATGTCCCGTCATTCTTGATGGAATATCGGGCATTTCGGAGCGAGGTTGCTCAGTCGGGCGTGGAGCCCGTAGGGACGATTCGCCCTTGGCGTGAACTGCCCATCGCGAGCTGGGTGTTCTGCCTTATGGGTACGACGACGGTGGTGCTCGGTACAGCTGTCCACGTCGGGCACTATAGATCGTCAACGTCTACCGCGCGATGCCGTGCCATTTTGGTCGTGTGTCGGCCTGTACCTTAGCCTTAAACGAAGTTGGACGTTTTTCCTCGTTGCCCGAGCATAGTTGCTTTTGGTCGAGGGTCCTAGGTGTTGACAGTTTCTAACTGTAGTACTGCTTCAACTTAGCAGCATTCCAGGGTCTTGGTAATGGCTCTCCGTCTAACTGCTCGAGGTAGTACGCCCCGGTACCCGTGGTGCCGTGGACGCGGTAAGGTCCTTCCCAGTTCGCGGCCAACTTCCCTTCGCGGGAGTCTTTCTGGTTTCTGCGTAGTACCAGGCTGCCTATTTCGAACTCGCGCTTGATGACCTTGTCGTTGTGGCGTAGAGCCACTCGTTGTTTTAGGGTTGCTTCGCGCAGGGCAGCCCCCGATCGGATTTCCTCGACTAGGTCGAGTTCATCCCTTAGTGCTTCGTCATTCATTTCTTCGTCGAGAGGTTCCTCT